AACTGCACAAGGCTCCCTTGAAAGCACAGCAATTAGCCACCTGCTCTCAGACTCACTCTGAAGAACTGTTTCATTTAAAAAAAAAAGAAAAGAAAAGAAGGAAAGAAAACCTTGCGAAGCATAGTAAATTGTAGGGCAGTGTGTGTGCAGTAGGCGGCCAGGAAACTGCTACCATCTTAAAAGCTGTCTGATTTCACTGCATGGCTTTCTCTAGTTTCTCTGACAAAAAGTCCTAGGTCAGAGGAGGGAGGAAGCTGCTACAATTCACTCCTTTATCCCACTGACAACTGAGCACAGTGTGTCTGGCCCTGTGCTGGGCGGTTTTGAGTGGAAGGAGGTGGAGCAGATTATCCTCCAAACTGCTGGTGTGTTTTCAGGTGGCTGCATAAGAACCTTCTCCTTCAGCAAGATTTACGCCCTGTTTACCTGCGGCAGCAAGGAGAAAGTGCGGCTGAAAGTCCCCTTCACATTTACAGTGAGGGCAAAGCTCCCAGGCTGATTTATGGGCCTGCTTACACACACCTTTGGAAGTTACACTGCATGAGTTCCGTCCGCCTGGGAACAGCTGGGGCTAGACCCCAGGCTGGTGACCAGGCAAATTCCTGACAGAGACTGGAGGAGTGGCGAAGCCAATCCGAAACAAAATATTAAGGAAGAATAAAAGTCATAGGAAACGCTCCTCTTTCCCCCAAAATTAAACTCATATTTTCCCTTCATGATTACCAAAGCAATTGGAAACAAAAAAAACTTCAGATAAAATGGAAATAAAAGAATATAGTATGGAGAAGGGATGAGGGTGATTTCAGGCTGACATGACCAATACATCCTCTACCAGATCAAGATCAGCCTCACCAGAGCTAACTCAGGTTGAAGTAGATGCCCTTTATATAAGTCATGAAAATGGTACTTTTACCTCTCTGGTTTTCCCCAAAACTCTTAATCCTAATCTAATCATGAGGAAAACATGAGACCAATCCCTGTTGAGGGATGTTCTTTGAAATATCTGATGAATATACCTCAGAACTGTCAAGGTCATCAAAAATAAGGCAAGTTGGAGAAACTGTCTCAGTAAAGAGAAGCCTCAAGAAGTCAGAGACTAAATGGAATGTCATGCCCTGGGTGTGAGCCCAGAACAATAAAAAAGACCAGAGGAAAGAGTAAGAAGATCTGACTGGAAAAAAAAAAAAAAAACGTGGGATATTGACTCAATGGAATACTACTCAGCTATTAAAAAAGATGAAATTGTGCCCTTTTGGGACAAAAATGCATGGATCTTGAGGTGATTATACTAAGTGAAATAAGCCAGAAATGAATGCAGTTACCAGATGGTCTCATTCATTTGTGGAATATTAAATAACTCAAAAGAACAAACTGGCAAAACAAGAAGAACTGTTAGGCTCTATGAATAATATACCAGTTCCCAGAGGAGACTGGTGAGGGGACAGGAAGGATGCTGAGGGGCTGAGGTACTGGGGATTTGTGAGGTGTGTGTGAGGCATGTTCGTATGTGGAGGGGTACAGTGTGGTGTGCCCTGAATGTATAGTTAGGTAAACTAATGGCAAATCAAAAAAAAAAAAAAAAAGCTAAAGAAAAGTCTGAATAAAAGATGGACTTTATAGTAATAGTCATCAGTATTGTTTCATTAATTGTTACAAATATACCCTATGAATTTTAAGATGTTAATAATATGTAAACTGAGTGTGGGATTTATGGGAATTCTCTGTACTAATGTTTGAAATGTTTCTATGAAACTAAAACTACTCTAAAAACAAAGAAGAAATGGAAATTATCTAAAATTGCACCCTCTGGACAAAACTACTCTTAATATGGTATATAGTCTCCCCCTTGCATATGCAATCATTTTATATGTGTGCATATTCTTATTACATCCATTTTTTAACCAAAAATAAGGTTATTCTAGTAGTTTTTAAATCCTTTTTATTCACTCTCTGGCCCTCATTTGCAAATTTAGTCAACATACATTAGCACTGGGTTCCTTATCCAGGAGATGGGCCAACATATAAGAAGGACATTTGAAATTTAAAGTCAGGTCTACTTCATAAATGAGCTGGGCCAAGAGAAAACACATGTTTTGGGAAGACATCTGCTAGACACATACGAGTTTAAAGGAGATTACAAAGAGATTCCTTCACACTCTAGGAGACAGGGTGAGGAAAGTGTCCAATTCCTGACGTTGTTTGACACAACACTCATGTCACAACTGCCACCATTTTAAATCTCACCATAATCCAGTAAGGTTGACTGATTTGTCCTCATTTTCGGGAAAAGAAACTGGGACTCTGAGGGACACTTGACCCCTGCCCACGGTCATGCAATTCATAAGGGTAGAACCAGTGTCTGAACCAAGTCCAATTCCAAAACATGGGCTCCTTCTGCCTAAAACAACACACCTCCTTGGGGATGTGGGCACTAAGGCTAGGTAGGAGTATGACCAATGGTGGTGCAGCAGCTGGAATAACATACACCATGTGCCCTGAGTACTTGTGTTTGCATAGCTTAATATCTGTGTGGAGAGTGGCTCCAGGTGACCCCTGGTGAATCAAACAGTCAACACAATGCAGCTAAGGCTCCAACCTTCCAAGCCTCCAATTCTGGCCCCCAGTGTTCTGAGGAAGCACAATGCCAGGTGGTGCAAAGATTCCTGGGCCCTAGTGTCAGAGAGCTCAATTAGGAGGCCTAGTTTACAGCCTGGGAACTGATATCTCTTTAAAGTCCCCCAGGTGACAATGATGTGCAGCCAGAATTGGAAACACCAACATGGGTGGTTCCTTCTGGCTTTATGACTCAAAGTACAGTTGACTTTAGCAAACTAAAGTCCAGTAAGTACTCCCCACAAATGTTACTGTAATTCCAAAGGGTCTGTTGTGGTCTGCTTAATACCTTTTTCCTTGGAGAAAGGTGAGAGATAATGAGAGACAGAGAGAGGGGCACTATAATATGATAGGTACTTTTGGCAGAGGCTCTTAGGATTTCAAAAAAGTACTGTTCAAATGAGAAAAATATCCTTGAGATCCTGCAATCCAGTCTCTTAATGGTACACACAAGGGACTAAAGTTGCAAGGACATTCAAACCTGGTCTGCCCACCCCAAAGCCAAGCTCAAACCGCTGTCCAGGAAGCAGATGGCATGGTGCTGGCCACACCAGCTGATGCAGGGCAGGTTTGCAGAGAGAAGTCGCTGTGTAGTGTAACACATTCCCATTCCCTCCTAATAGAGCAGCATATGTGGCTCTGTGTCAGGCAGCCAGAACCCTCATCTCTGCATCCCCCCCCCCCACCTCATTAGATAAGAGCCTATCAAACCCGCCCCACTGTCTGTTTGGAAGGAGCAGACAATTCCAGCGCACATTAGATTAAGAGAGCAGCTGGCCCAGCCTTGGGGGAATTGGGAGGGCAAGCATCTGTACAGTGAGAACCTTCAGGTCTAGAAGAAGAATAGGCCACACTTTTCTGTGTGTTCTACAAGATGCATGCTCTCCAGGGTCTGAGGCAGGAAAAGCCCTTCAGGGACCAGTGACAGACTTGTGTAAGCCTTCATGCAATTATTATACATCCTCCTTGGTTCCCCTCACCCCCCAACCCCACCCAATTAGAGCTCTCTAGTTCAGTGTCACACAGTGCCTGGCCATTTGGGTTTGCAGTTATGAAAACCAACACTTAATGAGCACCTCCTAGGGGCCAGGAATGGAACTGGATAGGATATGTGCATTGCCAGGTTTCATCTTCGCTGCCACACTTGTGAAAAAGATATTTTTTAATCCTTGTTTTACAGATGCTTCTCGAGAGATTAAATACTTGTTGCATTGGCTAAGATGGGACTTGAACCCAGCATGAGCAGAGTCGGCTTATGGAGGGTCTCTAGTAATGTCATGGATTTAGGTTTTCTTCTCAGTGCTAAGGGGCCGCAGACAGATCAGTGGCCCTAGGTTTGCATTTCCAAGAGATTCCTCTAGTTGGTGTGGGGTGAAGAGAGTGGAGGGACATTTATGGAGACTCCTCATACTTGCTGAAAGGAGAGACAAGCATTCAGGGAAGTGGAAGGAAAGAGGAAGAAGTGGGGCTCTGATTCAGGAATGACTGTCAGAGCTCTGAAATTCAGATTCTCTGACTCTGTCAGATTTGCTGGATTAGAAGCCTTAGGGGGGAAGCCTAGAAACCTGCAATTTAAAGAACTGAGGATTAAGAGCTTGAGCTTGGGAGTCAGAGCACCTGAGTTTTCACCAACTCTGTCACCTCATTGAGGTCAGGCCAGTTACCTGCTCTCTGTAGAGCAGGCCTCATGCTAGTACCCACCTCACAGGAACTGAAGTCAATTAACACACATGACCCCTTCAACTAGTTCCAGCTAGAGCTCAGTTAGTCTCCAAGGACCTCTGAATGGAAAATGCAAACTAAATATCCATTGAAGGAGGCTCAGTCTTCATCCACCTCATCAGAAATGCTTTTTTCATTGATTAATTCCAGAGCTCAAGACATCAGATTGAAGGTGATATATTCTCCACTTAGGGTGAAGGCAGTCCCACGACTTGGGTGTTTTTTCTGTTAGCTGTGGCAGCCAACACATCCATATCTCCCATGCAGCTATAGACATAAAAGCCACTGCTCAGTTGTTATGGGTTGAATTGGGTCTCCCTTCCCACCAAAAAAACAGCGAAGACCTGTGAATGTGCACTGTTTGGAAATAGGGACTTTGCTGATGATCAAGTTAAAACAAGGTCATTAGGGTGGGCTCTAATCCAACATGAGTGTGTCCTTAATTAAAAGGGACATTTGGATGGAGACAGAGATATACAGAGGGAAGAAGTGAAGACACATGGAGATGCTATCTACAAGCCAAGGAATCCCAAGACCAGCTGCTGGAAGGCAGGGAGAGACTTAGAACGCATCTCTCACCTACCCCTCAGAAGGAAGCAAGACTTGCTTTCATTCTTCTAGCTTCTAGAACTATGAGGCAAAATGCTTCCATTGTTTAAGTCACTTAGTTTTGTTTGTTATAGCAGCCATAGGAAACTAATGCATCTACCCATCGTGATCAGGCAGTTATAGGGCTGTACAACAACAGAGAATTATAGGGCTGTACAACAACAGAGAGAGTTGAGGGAGAACTTCCAAGAGGTCAGCTCCAAACTGCTGAAATGTGGATCCTCAATCCAGCTGCTGAGCTTCCATAGGGGCAACAACCCTTCTGGGGACATCACGTTGCTACCTATTGGGAGGAGGCAGTTGCTCATCTCATCATCTGTTGAGCTGCTCATCTTCTGAGGTGGGGTGGGGCATAAGGACCACTAACAAGCCCTTTCCTTGACTGTGATCTGTGTGATGTGGCTCATGACTGTTGAGGAGCAGTCTGTAGCCCTTAGCCCGATGTCCAGTGATGCTGACGATGGCGCCCCTGGCAGCTGATTGTCTGCAGCACAGTTCACACAGAAGCAGCAAATGGCTCCATGAAAATATTCACAGAAGCCCCTCCCACATCCCCCACCTTCCAGAACTTCAGCTTTTAATACATTGAAAGCAGCTGGCTTTCAACAAAATCTTGGCCTCAGTACACTGGCTTTGACAGGCTGATGAAAGCTAGGGTGGCTGAGTGCTTGGCAGAAGGTCTGTTTCCAACCCCACTTCAGCACAGCGGACTCTGCACCATTCTGAACCCCAGAATCCAGGTGCTGAGCTGTGGGAAGAGCTCTGTGATTCCACAGGGTTCATCTGTCCACATTCAGAGGAAGCCTGGGGAGATGCCAGGCTGCAAATAGTCTGAAAATTTAGAGAGCAGGCAGTCCATGCCCCCTAGAATGGCACTCAGGACTCCTCATGATTTCTCTAGAACCACAATCCAGGCTCATCTTCCCCTCACACTTTAGGCTCCAGGAATGCTGAACAATTGGTACCTGAGTTCAAATCCTGTCTCCTGGATCACAAACATGTCCCTCTTTTGTGAGCTTTGTTACCAAAATGAGCTTCCATTTCTAATTCTGTAAAATGGATCAACAAATATCTATTCTTTTTGGTTAGTATAAGAGTTACATGAGGAAAATGTGCAAAGTGCCTTCACAGTGCCCAATACAGTGATAGCTTTTATCCATCATCTTTTTTTTTTTTAAGATTTATTTATTTATACATATGTAGTGGCAGGAAGGAGACAGAGCAGGATCTTTGTGATCTGTGCAGACAGGGTAAAGGAGGAGACCTAAGTGTGCTAACAGCTTTTGCGCTCCAAAAGCCCTCAGTGGCTTTTCAGGCTTTTATTGGGATTTACCAGGTACACAGAAGGCAGGGGTGCTGGGGGATCAGGAGGCTGGCAGGCCTCCCAGCCCCTAGCAAGTCTTCACTTCGTCTGGGCTCTCCAGCATTCTCTGCTTCTTCTCTCAGCTCTCTGCTCTTCTCGTGGTTCTGCTTCTTCGTTCATTCTCTGCTCTCCTGCTGGCGTCCCCAGTGACGCCGCCCTTATAAGCCCAGTCTTAGCCCAGGTGAATCCCATCTACATATGCCCACACCCTACTCCAGGTGCCCGCCATCAGGCATGCATTCGGGACCACAGAGTTTCGTCACCTATCCTAACGGAGGGAGGGCAGAAAAGCCTGATACTTTCTACCTTACCCTACAACATACAAGAACTGGGGTATAGGCCAGAGTTGTGGGGGGTGGGTGGCGGTGAGAGTATTCACTGGAGACAGAGTGGGGAGCAGAACAGGCAGACTGACTGAAATACACTGCTGAGGGGGAGCAGTAGGCAAGACAGGAGAGGTCTACTGCACCATGTGGGTATCTGTAGGGTAAGGAAAAATGTCAGGCTTTTCTGCCCTCCCACCATCAGGATAGATGGAGGATTCTGGCGGTCCTGAATGCATGCCTGAGGATGGGCACCTGGAGTAGGGTGTGGGCATAGGTAGATGGGATTCACTTGGGCTGAGACTGGGTTTTTAAGGGCGGCGTCACGGGGCCACCAGCAGCAGCAGAAGCCAAGAGAGAAGCAGAGAAGGCCGGAGAGCCCAGATAAAGTGAGGATTTGCTGGGGGCTGGGAGGACTGCCAGCCTCCTGGTCCCCCAGCACCCCTGCCTGCTGTGTACCTGGTAAATCCCAATAAAAGAGCTTCAAAAACCACTGAGGACTCTGACTCCTACTTTACCTGGTCTGCTGGATCATAGAAAATCTGCACTGTGGTCTTCCTGCCCTTTACAATTGGCGTAAGTCAGCAAGATGATCCATGCAGACGGATATTGGAGTCTCCGAAGACCTGAAGGGACTAAGGAGTAACAGACTGTGTTTGCCTGTGACGACGCTGGAGGCATCATGGTGGCACAGGAGATGGGCAAGGTCCAGGAGCTACAGGACGAGACCTAGCATGAAGGAGACGCCCTAGAGGACCAGCCAACGACCCCTGAGGCAGCAAGAATTGTCCGGGAAGAGAGGACTGCGATTTGGAGCTCGCCAGTGTGATGGAAAGGCCTAATGGACTTGGACTGATGAACTTAGACTGACAATCCCACCAGAAGGCGGAGGATCTTGGCAAGTTGTTTTTGGGACCCTGGGGGAGGATGCTATTGTTTGTACACCCCAGGAGATAGGAATCTGGGAGTGGCCAGTGGGCCTTGATGGCCAAAAGCAGCCTGTGCATGCCCAGCAGCCAGGTGGAGGAGAAAAGCCAACTGAGAAGGCAAAAGCTGGTGCTGATGCTAAGTTTGAGAAGCCCGGAGTGGCTGTTAAGCAGCCTGAGTATGCTGAAGCCCTGTGAGTCTCGTAAAATCACCTGTGGGTGATGCCCTGCTCATTGTCGAGTGAGGGTGAGGAGTTGAGGAACCCGTCCTTGGGGTCGGGTGGGGAACGTGGCTTGGGGTGGAGCCCAAGCCATATGTAGAGTTTGGATCCCCAACCCATGTGCTTGTGCAGTGGGTTGGCCTGAGTGCAGGGGTCTGCGAGTTGCATGGGTGGCCATGAAGGCCGAGTGTTGGAGCGACTGCAGACAGAAACCCTAAGGGTTGGCAATTACCCGCAACAGAATAGAATCGCCAGTCCCAGAGCTAGTGCATCCTGGGGGTGGATGCTGTGTGTGGCTTGTAGCCGAGACTACAGCCAGAGAAGGCCAGGAAGCCTGATGGCTCCTGGTGTGTTACAGTAGATGTCGTGAGTGGTTCCCGTCCCTCGTATGAGCAGTGCCTTCGGCAGCAGATTTGTTGGCTCATCTGCTGGTACCAATAATTGTCTTTTGCCACTAGGTTGGGGCCCTGCCTGGACTTATTTATGTTCTGTTGTATTTTGTTATATTGTGATGTATTTGCTTTTGTGGGCCATGGCTGCAGTGTTTATGTTTGCTAAGAAAATTGTACATATGAAGACTATATGGCAGAAAACCCTGAGGGGGTGGACTGTAGGGTAAGGAAAAATGTCAGGCTTTTCTACCCTCCCGCCATCAGGATAGATGGTGGATCCTGGCGGTCCTGAAAGCATGCCTGATGGCAGGCACCCGGAGTAGGGTGTGGGCATAGGTAGATGGGATTCACCTGGACTGAGACTGGGGCTTTTAAGGGCAGCGTCACGGGGCCACCAGCAGCAGCAGAAGCCAAGAGAGAAGCAGAGAAGGCCGGAGAGCCCAGATAGAGTGAAGACTTGCTGGGGGCTGGGAGGACTGCCAGCCTCCGGCCCCCCAGCACCCCTGCCTGCTGTGTACCGGGTAAATCTCAATAAAAGAGCTTCAAAAACCACTGAGGACTCTGACTCCTCCTTTACCCGGTCTGCTGGATCATAGAAAACTTGCACTGTGGTCTTCCTGTCTTTTATACTATCTCTCTGGCTGGAGATTGAACTCATGCTGCAGTGACTGCAGCAAGCTTCATAGGTTGCATCTTAACCCCTTGTACCACCAGGGAGGCCCTCATTCCTCAATAACCCAATTCAAGAGCATTTGATCTATAAATAATTCTATTGATTGATAACGGAATTGCCAATAATCAAAAAAGGGGTAATTGACTCAATCTACCTACCCGGTTGCTTCCAATGGTCCAACAATGACACTGGAAGCATCGAGAGCAGTTTTCTGATGTCTAATTTAACTCAGAATCTGACGTGCCTCAGGCCTCAGTTTGGAAAGGAGGAGGGGTTCTGGCAGCAGTGAGGGTCAGAGGGGAGAGGCACCTGTCACCATGGGCTCATGCTACACATGTGCACATGTACACAAAGTCACATTCAAGTGTCTTACAAGTCCATGTTTCCCCTCCTTTTGGAAGAATTTTCCAGCAGCTTTTAGCTCCCAAATTATAGGACTATGATTGAATTAATATCAGCAGTGCTGGAATCAGCAGCCATCTGAAAAGACCTTTTTAAGTAATTGCATTCTCCCTTCTGTCCTTATTACCAGTAATGGTGATCAGTCAGTAATGCAGTCTTTAAGCTCCTGATCTGATTGATTCTGTCTTTAACTATCTCCGAGACCTGGATTGTCTCAATTCAGGGGCAGCTAGACTCTGGGTTTCTATCTTGGAGTTTTGTGCATCCTGCAGTGGAAGGAGCATCCTCAGAACTGGGGGTTGCACGGAGCCCTTTGACTTGGGTCAGAAAAAAGCCCCTTCAAATTCTCCACTGGGCTGTGTTTGCCTTTCACACCTGAGCAAGGTACATGACTCAGATGGGAGTCCCCCTCCCACCAGCTGCAGGCTGTAACTGATCTTTTCTAAGAATTAGAAGGATGTGCTTAAATGTCTATTTCTTGAATACAACCAACCTAATAGTACCTGATCCTTAACAGACGAGTACTGTGCCATGGCGCATCCTGTGACTGGAAATGGGATCACTAAGTCATCCCAAAGAGATAGGAAATGGGTGATCAGGTCCAAAGGTTCTTAGTGACCACAGCCAGGCTGCTTGTCCTATGGTTATATTTTAATCAAGACACGGATGCAAATTACTATCCACAGAGCAGGGTGATCAGCAGCATCGTCCCGAATTGATTCCCCAGTCTTTTGACACATAAGACAACCTTCAGTCAAAAAAAAAAATTATATATATATATATATATAATAAAATATAAAAAACAAAAACCAAAAAAAACCTGTCTGGTCGGGGGAAAGGAGAAAGTTATTCAAGAAGTGCCTGTGACCACTCGTTTGGGCATTTCTATCCTTCCAGACATACCAAGATTCCTTGGGTACATGGGATCTGTGCCCAACTGCCCAAGAGGTAACAGCCAATAGTAATAATAACAACAATGAGGTAAAGCAAAGGTGAATTTCTAGGCTCAGCTTCCAACCGTGCAGACTTGATGTTAAGCC